ATTTGATGGACAAAGATATTTTTGAAAAAGAAATTTGATTTTTTTATGGACAAACAAGTCCTTAGTGACTTTGAAGTCAATAACATAGTACTTCCCTGTCTCAAATTATCTGTCGTAAATTCTAAATAGAGTTGTCTCAAAAATGCAAGACAAAATAAACTATACTTTTTCCGTTTTGTCCTTAATAATATTTGTTTTTGAAAATGGAGATAGCTCATAAAATAAGTAAATATTTATTTTAATATATAAATAAAGGTAAAATAGATTAAAAAAAACCTTCCTAATTAATATTCTTGGCCGGTAAAATAGAAACACAGACATATAGAGGAAGTGATAACTATTTGAAAGTCATTTTCCTGGAACAATTCATTTGGCATGAAAAACGGAGTAATAGCATGTTTGGCCAAACTTATTTTTGGCCAAATGTACTTTTTTTGAGGTGTTTGGCCAAGCATCTGGAAGGAAAAAAGTGCTTTTGAGGAGAAGCATAAGCAGTTTTGGAGAAGCAGAAAAAATAGTTTCTCTCCAAAAGCACTTTTTTGAGAAGCACTTTTGAGAAAAATACACTTAGAAGCAGTTTTTTAAAGCTTGGCCAAACACTAGTTGTTGCTCAGAAGTGCTTTTCAGACTAATTAGCCAAACACAAACTGCTTCTCAACAAAAATACTTTTGAGAAAAGGACTTCCCAAAATAAGCTGATTTTTGCAGCTTGGCCAAACGGGCTATAAATCTCTGAGATTATATTAAATACCATAGTGAATTAAAGAAAAAGTTAAATAGCAAGTGCTACCTACTACAGTAATAGGAGTTCTTGGCACTTAGCTTACAGTGACAAAATTGATGAGAGAAGGCATTCAAAGTTTGGGATAATACAGTTTTCCTTTTCTTCTCAGGATGTTGCTTTAAAAATTAAACTAACAGAGATGATATGACAAGAAAAAGAGTGTAGCCGACTAGGCGGTAGGCCAGCGTTGGTGCGAAAGTTTAAGTTTCAATTTGCAGGAGATAACGTGTTCTAATTGTCCAAATATGAGAGAAATGATAGCCTTTTCAGGCTGGTACATAAAATCTACGAATTGGTGTAAATGTCACGTATGACAGATTGACGTGAAAGAGGGGTCGGAATTACGGAGTTCGAAACTAAAATTACAAGTTTTTGGACTCAAAACATGTTTTTACGGTCTTTCAAAAAAGTTATTTTTCTATTTACAACTGTTAAATCTGTGTATTGATTGAGTTTGTGACATAGGATGAGAAGAGTCAAACTGAGAGAGAGTAAATTGGAAGAATTTCTCATTCAATCTTATGTCAAAAATGAAGCTGATACAATTGTATATAACTGCCATCTAGCCAACTAATTGACATATGTACAAGTAACTAAACAATAGCTAACCATGGTTACAACTAACTAACATACTGACTATAGTTAACTCAAGCTATCCTTTACACCCCCCTCAAGCTAGGAGGTACGAAGATATTCTTCATTCCTAGCTTGGAAACCAAGTAGTCATGTTGTGCTCTACCAAGACCTTTGGTAAGTAAGTCCGCTTGCTGCTCAGCAGTAGCGACATAAAGAGTGCGAACTAGCCCTTGTCGAACCTTTTCACGAATGAAGTGACAATCAATGTCAATGTGTTTGGTTCGCTCGTGGAACACAGGGTTCACAACAATCTTAATCGCGGACTTACTGTCACAATGTATAGGTACTGATAAAGTAGGTTGTATGCCCAGCTTATGAAACAAGCCAAGAACCCACACAACTTCAGCAACAGTAGACGCTAGACTTCGATATTCTGCCTCCGCTGAGCTTCTGGAAACAATCGACTGCTTCTTGGACTTCCATGAAATCAAAGAATCCCCAAACATAATAAGGTAGCCTGTGACAGACCTGCGAGTGTTGGGACAAGCAGCCCAGTTGGCATCGCAAAATGCTGATAAGGACTCAGAACAATGTGCCTTCAGCAAAACCCCAAATCCTGGGCAATGTTTGATATACCGAACAATTCTCAAGGCAGCTTCCATGTGAGAGGCCCTGGGAGAATGCATAAACTGACTGAGGTTTTGGACCGCAAAAGAAATGTTTGGTCGAGTGATTGTGAGGTATAACAACCTCCCAAGTAATCTTTGATAAGGACCAGGATCATCCAAAGGCTTATCATCGGTGGTCCCAACATAAGAGTCTAATTCAATGGTAGATAGCCTCACGTTTTGTTCCATGGGAGAAGTGGCAGGCTTAGATCTTGAGAGCCCTAAGTCAGCAATCAACTCAAGGGAATACTTTCTCTGATGCATCAAGATCCCCTCAGCACTCCTTGCAAATTCAATTCCCAAGAAATACTTAAGTTCCCCCAAGTCTTTGATCTTGAATTTATGTTGAAGAGCAGCTTTGGTGGATTGTATCAGTTGCATATCATCACCAGTTATAAGCAGGTCATCTACATAAACAAGACAACGGCCATTTTTCCAGCTTCCCTTTTAATGAATAATGAGTAATCCAAATGAATCTGACGGAAATCAAAGTCAATGAGAGCAAATGTGAGCTTGAGATTCCATTGTCTTGAGGCCTGCTTAAGTCCATAGAGGGATTTATGCAGCCTGCAGGCCAATGATTTATCTCCGGATTTACTGAAGCCTCGTGGTATGCTTATGTACACCTCTTCTGACAAGTCTCCTTGCAAGAAAGTGTTATAACATCCATTTGGTGGATTGGCCACTACCTTGAAGCTGCTAACGAAAGAACACTTCTAACAGTAACCATTTTCACCGCAGGTGAAAATGTTTCCTGATAGTCCAAACCTTCTCTTTGGTTGAACCCTTTAGCCACCAATCTCACTTTGAATCTTTCTATTTCACCTGTAGCCTTATACTTTATTTTGTAAACCCATTTACATCCAATGGCTTTCTTTCCTTTGGGCAAGGGAACAAGCTCTCAGGTTTTGTTATCCTCCAATGCCTTGATCTCTGTTTGCATTGCTTCTACCCACCTTTTATCTCTGGCTGCCTCATAATAGCTAGTAGGTTCTACTTCAGGGGAAAAGTTTGAGATATAACTCTGATATTTAGGAGATAGGTTATCATATCTAATCACATCAAAGATAGGATATTGACAATAGTTGGACTACTTGACTTTATCAGTCCTCACAAAATCTTTAAGACATATAGGTGGTCTTGACTCTCTTGTAGTTTTTCTAACTTCTGCGGGTAGAGGAACAAATGGAACCTGTAGAGTGGCTTGAACTGTGTCATCGTCAGTATGGGCTAGAGTAACAATTGAATCGGACAAATCAGGTGCTGATGAAGAATTTGGTTCAAGTGAAGAAATTGATTGAGAAGAAGGAGGAGAACATGGCGGAATAGAAGCAGAACATGGTGGAATAGGCTCCACCAGCACAGCTGGACCGGATAGAGCATGAATATCCAAGAATTTCAGCCCAGTCTTGACTTCTGGATTCTGAAAGGGAAAAACTTCCTCATAAAAGGTCACATCTCTACTTGTGAACAGAACATTGTGTTTAAGGTCTAGTAGTTTGTCAACTTTCTGATGCATAACACAACCAAGCAATGCGCATTTCACTGCTCGAGCTCCAAACTTATCACTCCTAGGCAATGTGGTTGCAAAGCATAGGCAACCAATGACTCATGTGGGAAAAGGAAGGCTGTTTGTGATACAGTAATTCATAGGGTGAGTTATTGCCAAACACTGTAGAGGGAATTCTGTTGATTAAATAAACTGCTGAATCTACACACTTTCCCCAATATCTAGCTGGCAAATGTCCTTGAAACTTAATTGCTTTGTCTGTTTCAAGAATGTGTCTGTGCTTACGCTCAACCACTCCATTCTGTTGTGGGGTATATGGGCAGGAACTTTGGTGTTGAATGCCATGTAGTTGAAACAATTCTTTGCAGTGAGAATTGAAGAATTCACTCCCATTATCGAATCTAAATGATTTTATAGTCTTGCCAAACTGTGTTTGTACCATTGCAATGAAGTTCTTAAGTAAAAAGAGAACATCATATTTCATTCTCATAAGAAATATCGACGTCCATCTTGTACAATCATCAACTAAGGTAAGAAAAAATCTCCTCCCATTGTGAGTAGCTACTTTGTAAGGGCTCCAAACATCCATATGTATCAAATTGAAGCTATCTAAACTCTTACTATGACTAACTGGAAAAGGTACTCGAGTTTGTCTAGCCAAAGGGCAAACTTCACATTTATTTGACAAAATACTACTACTAAAACTAGAGATTTTCCTGAGAACTTGCATAGGCACATGTCCCATTCGCTTGTGCCAGATGTCTCCCGTATTTCCAAGTTCCTTTGTTATTGCTGCAAATGCTTGGTAAACTTTGCTGTCATTATTTCTTGCTGTAGATAGCATGGTATGCAATCCCTCTTCTTCCTTACCAATCTCCTTCACCCTCCCAGACAAGAGATCCTGAAAAACACAAAAGGTGGGAAAGAAGGAGGCAAAACAATTCAACTCTCTTGTCACCTTGGACACGGACAAAAGATTGAATTTGAATGCAGGTAAACAAAGGACATTCTTAATAGTGTCACCTCCGGTAAGCTGACAATCCCCAACATGAGTAACCTTGGCAGAGTCCCCTGTAGGCATCTGTACCTGTCCTCTATTACCTACTGACATGCCATTTCCTAGCAATTTGTCATTTCCTATCATGTGATTCGTAGCACCTGCGTCTATAATCCATTTGGGAATCTGAACATTGCAACAAAGGAATTTACCTGCCATTGCTGCTATGTTAGAATTGGTCTCTCCAATGGAAGTCTTGTGCAGCAGTTGCAAAATTTGAGCATATTGTTCTTGTGTGAATAGTTGTCCAGGTACTGATTTGTTTCCCAGTTGTGTATTATTTGCCTCTACTTGTACTGCATTGGCCTTCATCTTAGACTTAAAATCTGAAGGATAGCTAACTTTCTTGTAGCAATTCTCTTTTAAATTCCCTGTTTTGTGACAAAATTCACATTTCATCAATTTTTAACGGCCTTCTCTCATGTGACCCTTCAAGTGACAAAAATCACACTCCAAGCTATAATTTTTCCTCTGCTTGTTCCCTGATTGTACAGTGAACATTGCAGTAGGCTCAACATGTCCAATCCCTCTAAAATTATTTCCTGAAATCAATCGTCTGCTTTCATCTTGCATAACCATTGCATACGCTTGATTAATAGTTGGCACAGTAGGCATCATAAGTATCTGACTTCTAGCTTGCTCAAAACTGTCATTTAATCCCATTAGGAATTTTAGCAGACGTTGAAATTCTAATTGCTCAACATAATCTTTTGTAGGTGGTGGTGGCAGAATCGAATCATATTCAGCTCATAGATCCGTCAATTTAGTAAAGTAAACAGATACAAATGATATACCTTGGGTAGAGGTAAAAATTTCTTTGTGCAAGTAGTAGAGTCTAGAAGCATTCACCTTGTCAAATCTCTCTTTGATTTGTGCCCAAACAGTTTGAGCATTCGCAGAGAAGAGTACTCCAGTCAATAGGTGTTGACTTACATTACTCATTAGCCATGAGGTGACAATCGCGTTGCAACGATCCCACTGATGTCCAAGTGTCGGCCCAAAATCAGCTTTGGATGTTGAACCATCAACTAAACACAGCTTGTTCTTCCCAAATAGAACCACTTTCATAGCTCGATTCCAAAGAGTGTAGTTTTCCATATCAGTCAATAAAAAACCCACCAACATTGATCCCGGTCCGTCCGAAGGATGCAGATATAACGGGTGGATGTGATCAAGTATGACCATCCCTCCGGTAATTCCGTTCCTGGAAACCCTATTGCCAGTAGCAACACTGCTGGATTCATCAGAAATTGCCATGAAAGTTGGTCAAAAAATTGCAAAATTAGGGTTAGAAAAAAGCAGAAATAAAGCGAATTCTCTCGATTTCTTCCTCAATTGCACGAAGAACTTCTTAGAATCGCTCGATTATAGCTCTAATACCATGTTAAATCTGTATATTAGTTGAGTTTGTGAGATAGGATGAGAAGAGTCAAATTGAGAGAGAGTAAATTGGAAGAGTTTCTCATTCAATCTTATGTAAAAAATGAAGCTGATACAATTGTATGTAACTGTCATCTAGCCAACTAATTGACAGCTGTACAAGTAACTAAACAATAGCTAACCATGGTTACAAATAACTAACATACTGACTATAGTTAACTCAAGCTATCCTTTACACCCCCCTCAAGCTAGGAGGTATGAAGATATTCTTCATTCCTAGCTTGGAAACCTAGTTATGTTATGCTCCGCTAAGACCTTTGGTAAGTAAGTTTGCTTGCTGCTCAGCAATAGCGACATAAAGAGTACAAGCTAGCCCTTGTTGAACCTTTTCACGAATGAAGTGACAATTAATGTCAATGTGTTTGGTTCGCTCGTGGAACACAGGGTTCGCAGCAATCTAAATCGTGGACTTACTGTCACAATATATAGGTACTGATAAAGTATGCTGTACACCCAGCTTATGAAACAAGCCAAGAACCCACACAACTTCAGCAACAGTAGATGCTAGACTTTGATATTCTACCTCCCGTGAGCTTCTCGAAAGAATCGACTGCTTCTTAGACTTCCAAGAAATCAAAGAATCCCCAAACTTAACAAGGTAGCCTGTGATAGACCTGCGAGTGTTGGGACAAGCAGCCCAGTTGGCATCGCCAAATGCTGATAAGGATTCAGAACAATGTGCCTTCAGCAAAACCCCAAATCCTGGGCAATGTTTAATATACCGAACAATTCTCAAGGCAGCATCCATGTGAGAGGCCTAGGGAGAATGCATGAATTGACTGAGGTTTTGGACCGCAAAAGAAATGTCTGGTCGAGTGATTGTGTGGTATAGCAACCTCCCAAGTAATCTTTGATAAGGACCTGGATCATCCAAAGGCTTATCATCGGTGGTCCCAACATAAGAGTCTAATTCAATGGTAGATAGCCTCAGGTTTTGTTCCATAGGAGAAGTGGCAGGCTTAGATCCTGAGAGACCTAAGTCAGCAATCAACTCAAGGGAATACTTTCTCTGATGCATCAAGATCCCCTCAGCACTCCTTGCAAATTCAATTTCCAAAAAATACTTACCCCAAGTCTTTGATCTTGAATTTATGTTGAAGAGCAGCTTTGGTGGATTGTATCAGTTGCATATCATCACCAGTTATAAGCAGGTCATCTACATAAACCAAGACAACAATCATTTTTTCATCTTCCCTTTTAATGAATAATGAGTAATCCAAATGACTCTGACGGAATTCAGAGTCAATGAGAGCAGATGTGAGCTTGAGATTCCATTGTCTTGGGGCTTGCTTAAGTCCATAGAGGGATTTATGCAGCCTGCAGACCAATGATTTATCTCCGGATTTACTGAAGCCTTGTGGTATGCTCATGTACACTTCTTCTGACAAGTCTCCTTGCAAGAAAGCATTATAAACATCCATTTAGTGGACTGTCCACTGCCTTGAAGCTGCTAACGAAAGAACACTTCTAACAGTAACCATTTTCACCACAGGTGAAAATGTTTCCTGATAGTCCAAACCTTCTCTTTGGTTGAACCCTTTAGCCACCAATCTCGCTTTGAGTCTTTCTATTTCACCTATAGCCTTATACTTTATTTTGTAAACCCATTTACATCCAATGGCTTTCTTTCCTTTGGGCAAGGGAACAAACTCTCAGGTTTTGTTATCCTCCAATGCCTTGATCTCTGTTTGCATTGCTTCTACCCACATTTTATCTCTGGCTGCCTCATAGTAGCTAGCAGGTTCTACTTCAGGGGAAAAGTTTGAGAGATAACTCTTATATTTAGGAGATAGGTTATCATATCCAATCACATCAGAGATAGGATATTGACAACAGTTGGACTGCTTGACTTTATCAGTCCTCACAAAATCTTTAAGCCATATAGGTGGTCTTGACTCTCTTGTAATTTTTCTAACTTCTGCGGGTAGAGGATCAGATAGAACCTGTAGAGTGGCTTGAACTGTGTCATCGTTAGTGTGGGCTGGAGTAACAATTGAATCAGACAAATCAACTGCTGATGAAGAATTTGGTTCAAGTGAAGAAATTGATTGAGAAGAAGGAGGAGAACATGGCGGAATAGAAGCAGAACATGGTGGAATAGGCTCCTCCAGCACAGCTGGACCGGATAGAACATGAATATCCAAGAATTGTAGATCAGTCTCGACTTCTGAATTCAAGGGAAAAACTTCCTCATAAAAGGTCATATCTCTACTTGTGAACAGAAGATTGTGTTCAAGGTCTAGTAGTTTGTAACCTTTCTGATGCATAACATAACCAAGCAATGCGCATTTCACTGCTCGAGCTCCAAACTTTTCACTTTTATAAAGCCATACTTTATATAAAACGTTTTACATATAGCTCAATATTATACTGCATTTTACTTCTTTTTTGGGCCCACCAATAAGTGTTCTGCGATTAACTGACATAACAATAATTCAAATATATAAAGCGCGGTATTATACTACATTTTACATAAAAAAATTCTGCACCCCGAGCTAGGACTTGCCTTATTTAAAGGCGTTAGGATTTTATGAAAATACGTTCAAAACTTTCCTTCAAACTTCCGTCCATACTTTTCTTCTTGTTATCAAGCATTTTTTTATAATGTCTAAAGAACAAAAAATAAGGGTTTCATAATATTGGGGGTGAGGGGGTGGGGTTGTAATGGAGAATAACTCTGTGAGATATAGTTCACCTCCACAATGTCATGTTAAATTGCCGCTTATACAAGTGACACACTAATACTTGTCCCATAAAGTTCTCCCCCTATACACGACTCTGAAGCCCCATATGGCTACATTGCGGATGCTATTGAATGAGAAGGAATAATCCTCAATTTATGGAAATCCAAACATTTTCCTACAAGAAAAAGGACTAGCCAAATATGAGAGATTTATAATTTTCTTCTAAATGAAAGAAAACTCAATTATGGTAAATATATCGCCCTTTCCTTCAACAGATAGGAAAACCAAATATGGTCAGAAAATTATGGCAAACACCTAACAATAAAATAGATCCTTAACAGTCAAAAACATCTTCTAAGTTATAAATTATCATTTTACTTGTCAAACATATATATTTTTCAATGTTGATACTCTCTATTTTCAAATACTAATTAATGGCTAAACCAATATTTGCAATTATATTATTATATATCTATATATATGTGCAAATATTGAAATATATTTATGATCAAGATTTGAAAGGAACAATTGCTTACTTGGAATTGATTGCATTGTGTAAGAACCAGAAGAGACACACCAAAACGTTTCTGGCCATTGTCATAACGCAGCTCATCACTATTATTCATGGAAATAATCCATATCCTCATATATGCTTTTACGTGTCGAGTCTTGCAAAACAAAATAGAAGAGAAATTCTACCACGTAAACCACGTTTTATATAAAGTGTGGTTTTAAACTGCGTTTTATATAAAATGCGGTTTTGAACCACATTTTACGTTAACGTGCCAAACGTCCGTTAAGGTAAAACGTGGTTCAAAATCGTATTTTACATATTTTGGTCACTATATGTTTTTTCCACCTAAAAAAGTATTTTGAGTCCAAAAAGACAATATTTCGGTTCCGGACTCCAAATATATCCCTCTACTTCAGGATATTGTATATATTTAATCCCGTTATACTATCAGGTCGAATTTACCCCTACCATTATGCTATCTGGACAAATTTACCCCTACCTTTATACTAACGATTAAATTTATCTCTACCATTAGCAAACTTTTAAAATTATCCATTGATCTGTTAAGTAATCCAAAATTTCCGAATTTTCTTTTATTTAAATAACTTATTATTATTCTTCCTCCTCTATCTCTCTCTTTTCTTCCTTCTTCTCCCACTCCCAAAACTAACAGAAGCGTCATCTCCAGCGACTGCTGCCCGCCAGTGCCCCCTTTTTCTTATTACTTGCGTGTAACCCTCACCCCCACTGTTTTTCTTCCCCCTCCCCTTCCTCTTCTTTTTCTCTCCCTTTTTTCTTTCTTTGCTACTGCTAGGGCTTCACCAGTGGTAGCGGTGACATCCCCCCTCTTTCTTGGTGCCATGGTATTTTGTGTGTATTGTAGGTAAGAGTCGGTGCCTATTGGCGGCAAGCGGGACGTGTGCATGAAAACATTGGACCACAGCCCATGCGAGTGTCAGTAAGAGGCGGCAGGAATTTGGACAGGAACGCGCCAGGTGCCGCAACATTGTCATGTGCATCAAGACAATCTCCAAGTTCTATTATCGGGAGTTGGTACCTCCCGTATTCATGTTATCCTTCTTTGTGTTAGCTATATTGTTGCCATTTTAGTTCGCATTAGTTTAAGCTCCATATTAGCGAGTCCATAGTTACAACTTGTTCTCTTCTAGTTTGTTCTGTTGCCTCTTGTGTGTTAGTGATTTCTTCAGTCTGTCGTAGGTATAGTGGTTGTAGTCTGGGATGGTAGAGTAAGGCTATGTCCTGGGGGGAAAGAGGCAAGGGGTAAGGGGTAAGGGGTAAGGGGTAAGGGAAATAAGGGAGCCTATAAGTTGAGAATTGGGTCATGGAATATAGGAACATTGACATATAAGTCTATAGAGTTGGCAAAGATCCTCCTGAAGAGGAAGATCAATATAGCATGTGTCCAGGAGACAAGGTGGGTAGGATCGAAGGCGAGGGATGCAGACGAGTATAAGCTTTGGTACTTTGGAGTCTGGAAGGGCAAGCATGGAGTAGGTATTCTAGTGAATAGGGATATAAAAGAGTCTGTGGTTGAGGTTAGGCGGGTGAATGATATATTAATAACTATTAAGTTGGCGGTTGGAGAGTGTACCCTAAAC